AGTATTCTGAGTTTATAAAATCTAAATCTAAATAATTTCCCATTTGCAGCCCCTTGGAGATTTCCAGAATTGAACAAAGTAGCGAATGTTGCGATCTTTCAACTTTAGTTTGTTCTTTTTCACCACCTTAGGTGTAGTGTTTTCATTTAGGAGGCGGTCTTATTTGAATGCATCATTTCAGGTCTTTATCAGGGGTTTCAATAAATATTTTTTCAACAGGCTTTTTGGCAATTTCAACAGGCTGAAACTTATTTCACTAAAATAATTTAGGGTAAGGTAAGTAACAGTGAATTTTATTTCTACATATTTGAACAGGCGTAATTGAGATTTGAACAGGCGTTTTCGCCATCCGCCTGTGCTTATTGAAACCCCTGTTTATGAATCAATAGATCAACCAGAACAACGGCAACGCCAAAGCGTAGCGAATCCCATCGAACAGAAATGGCTGGCACTTTTACTAACGAAATATATAGCAAATATCATAAAACAACACACCAGAAAGGCCACCATTTTCAAAATGGTTGCTCACTAGCCAAGTTGTCATCAGAAGAAATAATATGCTTTTAAGTAGCCACCTATAAAATTTTGGAAAAATTGCACACATGTACTTGTAAAATAACACACATTTTTCAAAATGGCCACCTTCTACCAAAAGTGTCATTAGACAGTATGCCATGCTTTTAGTATTCACATACCAAATTTAAACAAAATCGCTCCACTACTTTTCGAGTTATAGTAAAATATGTTAAAATGGCAGCCATTTTGAAAAATGGCCACCTTCTACCAAAAGTGTCATTAGACAGTGTGCCATGCTTATAGTATTCACATACCAAATATGAACAAAATCGCTCCACTACTTTTCGAGTTATAGTAAAATACGTTAAAATGGCGGCCATTTTTCAAAATGGCCGCCTTCTATCAAAACTGTCTTTAGACAGTGTGCAATGTTTATAGTATTCACATACCAAATATGAACAAAATCGCTTCACTACTTTTCGAGTTACAGCAAAAATCGTAAAATAACGAGTAAACGCCGCCATTTTTCAAGATGGCTGCCATGTGCTTTTTTAATATCTACATTTGTAGCTTTATTAATATGAACAAAATCGGGCCAACGGTATTTGAGTTATTGCCTGGACGGACGGACGGACGGACGGAGGCGTTCCCTATATCCCTCCGAACTTCGTTCGATGGGATAATAAGCAGACTAAAAATACAATTTAGCAGTTTCTTTCATTGCGTACTGCGCCTGTTAGGCACGAAATACAATTTAGCAGTTTCGTTCGTTATTGGGCCTTCTATAATTAGTAGCAAATGCTCGGAAAACATTTTCCAAAATATTTACTTCTGTTTTCCTTGAAGACATGGTTGGGTGACACGTCATTGACACGTGATTAAGTCACATGATCGATACATTTACTAGTCACGTGATCAGACATGTGTCACGTGTCAGTCACGTGAGCCTGCAAAATGGACGATCTAAATTTCCAAAAATTCGGCTAAGATATAGATAGATATGCTGTTGCCTTCAGTGTCGTGTTTGGCTGCGTTCCACGATGTAACCTAGTCCGATGGATGACATAGAACAAGCCGGTAAGTAGACACGTGGTTACATCACATTCTTTCCTTATTTCAACCATATGAACTGATTCCCAGAATAAAAAAAATGACTGTAGATGGAGGACTTCCCACTATCCGTGAACATGTCACGTGTCAGCTTTCAAAATGTCGTTCCGCCATTTTGAAATCTGTCAGGAGTAAATAAGGTTACCTGATGTTGCATTCTGGGAGTCAATCCTTCTTGGATCACAAACATGGCGATTCATGAAAACATTCACTCGATTTAGTAGGGATTTATCCACCATTTGCAGGTATGAAGTTTGCTCATTTATTGTGCTACTTAAAGTGAATGGGAATTATTTTTCTACCGCTTGGGAGAGTTTGAGACACGAAACTTAGAATTTAGCTCATTGTGACAACTTTTGAGGGTTGAGATTTATTTTTGTCCCCCACTTTAGCTGTTTAGAGTCTAACCATGGGTATTCAATCTACTGTATGATTAAATTATTAGTTTATATTTGACAAAAGGCTTAAAGTATATTTAAACTACGGTACTCACGTTTGATCACATTTAAAGCATTTCTGGTACATTCAAAAAGCGTTCAAATAGAGTCAAAGTTTTTTCTTGCCAGGCTGCGCCATTTTGTTTGTATGAAGTCTCGCGTGATCACATTTTCGTTTTAATTTCTTTCACTTATTAGGGATCTACTCTTGTTTTTGCCATCCTCATCCCTATTACAAGCTACCCTTTAATTTGATTTTTTTTTTGGGAATCCTAAGTTTACTGTGTATACTAAATTCATTGTTTCCATTTTCGTATTTTATAGGAACAGTCACGTGATAATTTCGCGCTGAAATCTGAAAATTGAGAACCAGTTTGAAGATGTAATAATTATACCATATTAGGACGGTTGTAATATATATTCCAACAAATTGAATGCCTGATAGTGATGTCAAATGCTACATTCGACTTTGTTCCACATGCGGAGGTAACTATATGTTCTCATTTTCCTCTATTTTGACATATTTTATTCTCTGAAATGCTGCGCCATATTCCATAAAAGATTAGGCCTAGAGGGGGGGGGGTAGACTGTATCCTTCGTCTGAACTAGAGGGGGGGGGGGAGATTTTTCCTAGGCTGAACCCTCAAATATCAATATGTTCCAATACCAATTTGTCAAATTTCTATGTGTTCCCATACTAACCAAAAGAACGCCCAAATGCCATACCATGTCAAAATATAAGGGCCAATGCCGCCACCGGGGGTTCACTGTATTAGAGTGTATCAATGTAAATTTGGCGGCTGAACCCTCAAATATCAATATGCTCCCATACCAATCTGTCAAATTTCAATTTGTTCCCATACCAACCAAAATAACACCCAAAGCTTATCCCGTGCCAGGACTTTAGGTGCAATATGTAAAACTGTAATAGCAATATGTTTTAAATGTAAAAACATTATATAGTTACTTCCTGCGAAAGCTATTTGGATTTTGATATAATAGCTTTCCCACGGAGCATTTGGACAGCTCAATGATCGTGACCTTTGAAACCGAATTAAGTCGATCCGCGGCTTACTTTTGGTCTCTAACTGTGTCTTACATCAGTATCATCAATCCGTGTAAGTATTGGAGCGCTGGAGTACTTCTTTTTCGATCAAGACTTGTAATTATTAGTCGAGTGAATCGTTTTACTGCCAAATTCCAATATGGCGGTTTCTGCTCGGACATTTTCGTAAATCTCCGGAGGTTGTCCGAACCTAACTAATTCTCAAAATTCATTTCGTTCGTTGCGTATCTTGCACCTAGCAAACCGCCATATTGGAAATAGGTCTGTAAAACTTTAACTCGATGAACAATTTACAAGTCTTGATCGAAAAAGAAGTACTCCAGCGCTCCAATACTTACACGGATTGATGATACTGATGTAAGACACAGTTAGAGATCAAAAGTAAGCCGCGGATCGACTTAATTCAATTTCAAAGGTCACTATTGATCAGCTGTTCACATCTCCGTTTGAGAGCCATAAGTTTCAAAATCTAACATGGCTCTCGAAGTGAGTAATTATATAGGACATTATTAAAGCTAGAAATGTAGATATTTAAGAAGCACATGGCAGCCATCTTGAAAATGGCGGCCTTTACTCGTTATTTAATGATTTTTGCTGTAACTCGAAAAGTAGTGGAGCGATTTTGTTCATATGATACTTGGTATGTGAAAACTATAAGCATGGCACACTGTCTAATGACACTTTTGGTAGAAGGCGGCCATTTTGATTTCAAATGTATCGTTTTAACGTTTTTCTAATTTGGGACTCGTAAAATTCAAAATGGCCACCTAATGTTGGGATTGCGCAATAATTTTCTGATCTTTATAAAGTATGGCTATATTATACTCAAATTGAAGGAAAGGTCCATGTGCACTATGGCAAGTAATTTTAGATAGTCATATCTTTCACCATGAGTACTTTCTGGGTATGAATACAGTGGTTTTTATTTATTGAATAAACAATATGTTTTCTTTCAGTGAAGTGAAGTACCCATAATGATAAAAATTTTATATTGCTCTAAATGATACAATTTATTGTTTCAGAAGATTTTTTAAAATTTCAAAGATTGTATCATTTAGAGCAATATGTTAGACACATTTTCTGAAAAAATCAAAAGATTCTGTTCATTGATCTTTCCTGAGCACGTACTTTTAGCTATTTTTCAGTCACATTTTCAGAGGGCTGAAAAGGTTATTTCATCATGTTTATGGTCATTCTGACCATTTTCATTGTGTTCCCGGTCATGTAAATGATATGTGGAACTAGTTAAACTGACTGGAGGTCCAAACAGAACAGAACTCTGTTATCTTGGTTCAAAAAATTTCAAAATCCAGCATGGTTTTGACATTTTATGTTTTGTCATTTCCTGTTAACTTCCATGGCACCTTAAAAAAAACAAGAGGGTACAGGCTTTATTGTACAAAAAAACTAAATAATACAGTACAATTTTGTTGTATAGAAGCTTTATAGATTAGCTGTACTGTATAGCACAACATTGGTGGCTAAGTAGCTAATTATTAGGTATAGTATGTTACTCTGTTCAAGGTCTATGTTGGGTTTGTTGGTACATGTAGCTTATTTCAAGTCAAGGATAAATAGTGAATGGGAAAACATGTACTTTGATTGGTTACTCGGAAGCAATGACACATTTTGATACAAGAAAGGAGTTGATTGGAAAGAATGTTATTTTCAGAGGTCAATTGGCTTGCTTAGTTATGTTGCTAGCTGATATTGAGTCAAGGAATATTATTGAATGGGACAAACTGGACATGTGCTTTGACTGGAAACTCAGATGCAAATGACACATTTTGATACAACATAGACCAGGAAAAGGAGTTGAGTGGAATGTTATTTTCAGGTATATATTATCTCATTCCATACAATCATGGTATACATTTTCAGTTATGCAATAAAAGTACATCAATGTACCTAGATTATTATAGTCAAGATTACAATTTACATTTCTAGAAATTTTATTCACTGATAATTTAGATTGCCATTTTTTGTTATCATAATTCCAGTAAAACTGCTCCTTGGGTTCAATGCAGCTTTCAACTACTGTTACAGTAGGTAATGTTCTGAAGATCTTGTGCAACACCTTTGAATTATTATCCCATCGAACAAAGTTCGGAGGGATATAGGGAACGCCTCCGTCCGTACAAACATCTGTCTGTCCGGGCAATAACTCAAATACCATTGGCCTGATTTTGTTCATATTTTGTACACATACAGTCAATGAGGGTAGAAGTTCTGCTCGAAAGTCGATTTTCAAAATGGCCGGTCATTTAAAAATTGTGGCCATTTTAGTGCCGATTTAAAATTTCACAATCTTGAAATTTTCAAACTCTTCCTGAGAAGTCGTTTTTATTATTTCACATCATGCTTGTGCACTGTAATCATTACAAAGACATCAAAGAACAACAAAAAACTTTAGTTTGGGAAAAAAAGTGCTGTTTAAAGAATTTGAGATTTTTTTCTAGGAGTAGCCCGTGAAAAACCGCTGATTCAAAATATCTGAACATTTCAGAAAATATACTTCAAACATATATCAAAAACGAAGGAGCAACGGAAATTTGAAAAATTACCCGATAAAAAAATTGGGATCAAAATAAGGAAAAAAGTACACTTCTCAAATTGTTTTTTTTCTATTTTTTTTAATTTGTATGAGAGATTTCAAAATTCTAAAGCTCCTTCCATTTTGGGCTATATTAAAGGGATGTTTCAGAGAAATTAGAAAAAAAAATGTTCAGGGACCTTTGCCGTGCTACTCTTTTTGTCAATTTTTCTGTCACATTTTCAGAGGACTCAAATTCCCATTCCAAAATGTTTACTGTTTCTATTTGCATTACCACAGTGAGCTTGGTTATATAAATGATAAGTGGAACTAAAAAATTGAGAGAAAATCCAACCAAAAGACAGTTAATTTTGATGGTCAGATTATACTCAAATGCCATGTGCTTCCTGGTTTTGGCCATCTTGGATTTTTTGATTAAGTTATAAGTTACCTTAAGGTGACTGTTAACTTAATCGATTTTCAGAAAAAATTGAAAATTTCACAATCTTGAAATTTTCAAACTCTTCCTGAGAAGTCGTTTTTATTATTTCACATATGCTTGTGCACTGTAATCATTACAAAGACATCAAAGAACAACAAAAAACTTTAGTTTGAGAAAAAAAGTGCCGTTTAAAGAATTTGAGAAGATTTTTTTCTAGGAGTAGCCCGTGAAAAACCGCTGATTCAAAATATCTGAACATTTCAGAAAATAAACTTCAAACATATATCAAAAACGAAGGAGCAACGGAAATTTAAAAAATTACCCGATAAAAAAATTGGGATCAAAATAAGAAAAAAGTACACTTCTCAAATTGTTTTTTTCTATTTTTTTAAATTTGTATGAGAGATTTCAAAATTCTAAAGCTCCTTCCATTTCGGGCTATATTAAAGGGATGTTTCAGAGAAATTAGAAAAAAAATGTTCAGGGACCTTTGCCGTGCTACTCTTTTTGTCAATTTTTCTGTCACATTTTCAGAGGACTCAAATTCCCATTCCAAAATGTTTACTGTTTCTATTTGCATTACCACAGTGAGCCTGGTTATATAAATGATAAGTGGAACTAAAAAATTGAGAGAAAATCCAACCAAAAGACAGTTAATTTTGATGATCAGATTATACTCAAATGCCATGTGCTTCCTGGTTTCGGCAATTTTGGATTTTTTGATTAAGTTATAAGTTACCTTAACAGGAAATGACAAAACAAAAAGTGACAAAACCATGCTGGATTTTGAAAATTTTTTGAACTAAGAACCTGTGAAGCTCAGCAGTATCCATGAAAGGCCAGTAAAGGTATCCCTTCCCATTACTCCCCCACCAAGACGCACATTCTCAGATATGAATGGCAACAGACAAAATAGCCTTCGCCATAAAGTCATAAAGATAACATCTGTTTGGACCTCAGTTTAACTAGTTTCACATATCATTTACATGACCGGGAACACAATGGAAATGGTCAGAATGACCATAAACATGATGAAATAATAGCTAAGAGTAGGTGCTCAGGAAAGGTCACTGAACAGAATCTCTTGACTTTTTCAGAAAATGTGCCCAATATATTGCTCTAATTGATACAATTTTTAAAATTTTGATATCATTCTTAGAAAAAGAAAAAAAGGAAAAAAGGAAAAAAACTGAATTGAAAATTGATCTACTTTCCTTTTTACTACAGCCATTATTGTTTCAAACAATTTTTGGCTCACATAGTGAGCCAATGGGATCGACCAGGCGTCCGTCCGTTGGTCCGTCCGTTGGTCCGTCAACATTGGCCGCACAAATTAAAACTGCTATTCAGGTTGAGTCATATCCATATATTCATTTTATCCATAATGCCTATTTGACCTATCATCGCCATTTCCCAAGTTCGTCCGGTTTAAAAGAAATTGCGGATTCTGACGTCAAAAAGTCAAATTTTCTGTAAATACTAGACACTTTGTTGAAGTAGAACTTTCAAATAACTTGTAGTAGTTGCTGTATATGCAACTTATGTCCTCTGAAGATTTCAAAGCTCTTGGAATTACAGTTTTTGGTGTTTACTCTATAAAATTTGACAAAAAGTAGGACTTATGGAAACTTTCTCATGTATAAAGTCAATGGCAGGTTTTGTGATAGACAAGTTTCTCAAAGTTTGCCTTATACTAACTTGATCAGTTCTTGCAATGTATTACATCATTACTAGATTTAAGCATTCCCTAGTCTACATATTGCGCAATATATGTCGGCATCAAATTTTTACCGTTTTTGAGATATTTGACGTCAAAAAACAGTAAAAATAAGTTATTTTTCAACTTGCTTCAATTTGACCAATTTCTTTTTTGAAAATCATCTACAAATTGCCAGGAGATCAAATCTGACATTAGTTTTAGCATTTGACCTTTACTTGACCTTCAGTGACCTTTGAAAGGTAAAAAAAATTGATTTTTCAAATTGATTTTTGGATTTAAATTTTGGTCAGCTTAATTACAAAATACCTTACTGAGCTCTGAATAAGTAAAATTTTCAAGGTCAAAGGTCATCAAACTGTTTTCACACAACTGTGCAATCTAAATTTCTCAAAGTGCTATCCAAGTTTCTCAAAGTTCGAGACTCCAAATCAAAATCAATATTTTTGTTTGGAACCTTCAGAATAATGTATATCCTGACTTAGAAACTGTGTGAGCACAGGACCTTGGGTCCTTTATTTAAAATTTTAAAGAATGTATCATTTAGAGCAATATATTGGACACATTTTCTGAAAACAGGAAAAGATTCTGTTCATTGACCTTTCCTGAGCACCTACTTTTAGCTATTTTTCAGTCACATTTTCAGAGGCCTGAAAAGGTTATTTCGTCATGTTTATGATTACTCTGACCATTTCCATTGTGTTCCTGGTCATTTAAGTGATATGTGGAACTACTGTAGTTAAACTGACTGGAGGTCCAAACAGAACTCTGTTATCTTGAGTCCAAAATGGTTTTGTCATTTTTATGTCCCCACCACATAGTGTGGGGCCATATTGTCGGCCTAGGCGCGTCCGTCTGTCCGTCCGTCCGTACGTACGTCCGGGAGTTTTCTCCAAAACCGCTACAGATATCACCTTCAAATTTTCAGTGATAATTTATGAGTGCATACAGATGTGGATGAAAAAAATTTAATTCGAAACCTACTTCCTGTCGGCCATTTTGAAGTCAAATGCCAAAATCCTTGTCTGCAAACTTTAAGAAAAACGGCTTCACAGTTGCTTTTTATGTCCCCACCACATAGTGTGGGGCCATATTGTCGTCCTTGGCGCGTCTGTCTGTCCGTATGTCTGTCTGTCCGTCCGTACGTCTGGCAGTTTTCTCCAAAACTGCTACAGATATCACCTTCAAATTTTCAGGGATAACTTATGAGTGCATCTAGATGTGGATGAAAAAAATTTAACTCGATACCTACTTCCTGTCGGCCATTTTGAAGTCAAATGCTAAAATCCTTGTCTGCAAACTTTAAGAAAAATGGCTTCACAGTTGCTTTTGAAACTTTAACATCTTGTTCAGCTCACTTCATTCTACATCTGATTAGGTTTTGGACCTGTTAGCTCAGTCATGTCAGCCATTTTGAATGTTTTAAGAAAAGTTGGTGCGCGATATTACTTTGTATCATATTGAATGGTGTTTTTCAGTTTTCATACTTTAACTATTTAGTAGCTTTATAAATAATTTCAGGTGTACTTTGTTGTAAAAGCCTATGTTATTGTTAACAGTAGTTATATGTGATAATTTTGTTAAAAGAAATCAGCAAAAACTCATAATCACTTTTTTATTGTCGGCCATTTTGGATTTTTCCGTCCTAAAATCTTGTCTGTAAAGTCTTGTCTACGCGTTTTCAGGTGAACCGTTTGGTAGATCAATTTCAAATTTTCAGGGATGATTCTTAGTATGAAAATCTAGATCTGATTAGTTTTTTGGCATTCTGGATGAATGTCAAGGCAGCCATTTTGGATTTTCTGTCTTGAAATCTTGCCTGTAAAGTCTTGTCTACGCGTTTTCAGGTGAACCATTTGGTGGATCAATTTCAAATTTTCAGGGATGATTCTTAGTATAAAAATCTCTATCTGATTAGTTTTTTGGTAGATCAATTTCAAATATTCAGGGATGATTCTTAGTATGAAAATCTAGATCTGATTAGTTTTTGGGCATTCTGGGTAAATGCCAAGGCAGCCATTTTGGATCATCCTAAAATCTTGTCTGTAAAGTCTTGTCTACGCGTTTTCAGTAGAACCGTTTTTTAGATCAATTTCACATTTTCAGGGATGATTCTTAGTATGAAAATCTAGATCTGATTAGTTTTTGGCATTCTGGATAAATGTCAAGGCAGCCATTTTGGATTTTCCGTCTTAAAATCTTGCCTGTAAAGTCTTGTCTACGCGTTTTTAGGTGAATCGTTTGTTAGATCAATTTCAAATTTTCAGGGATGATTTTTAGTATGAAAATCTACATCTGATTATTTTTTTGGCATTCTGCGTAAATGTCAAGGCAGCAATTTTGGATTTTCTGTCCTAAAATCTTGTCTGTAAAGTCTTGTCTATGCGTTTTCAGGTGAACCGTTCAGTAGATCAATTTCATATTTTCAGGGATGAGTTTTAGTATGAAAATCTAGAAACTGATAAGTTTTTTGACATTTTGGGTAAATGTCAAGGCAGCCATTTTGGATTTTCCATCCTAAAATCTTGTCTGTAAAGTCTTGTTTACATGTTTTCTGGTTAACTCTTTGATGGATCACATTTCACATTTTCAGGGGTGTGAAAATCTAGAACTGACTAAATTTTTGTCATTCTGGGTAAATTTTAAGGTGGCCATT